GTGCAACGCTTACCATTCCTAAAGTAAAGTCTATCACTTAGTATTTATACCTAAAAATAAACCAATAAGAGAAGGTCACGTGTCAAGTTGAAATTGGACTTTTTTTTTCCATTTAGAGATTTTAATTTTGTAATATAATACAGTTTAAATTGTATATTAAAAAATCTTTTAAAAATCTTTACAAGTGCAACACTTACCATTCCTAAAGTAAAGTGGATCACTTAGTATTTACATCTAAAAGTAAACTAATGAGAGAAGGTCACGTGTCAAGTTGAAATTCGATTATCAAGAAAAGTTAGCAGGTTGGATTTGGGCGAGGTTGGATTACAGTTTAAAGGCTTAGACAAAATTTTAAAGAAGTTGGATTTCATGTGGCAGAAGATAAAATAATTTCTGGTGTTTGAGGTTGATTTAAAGTAGGAAGTTGTGGTTTTTTAAGAGGAGGTTATCCCTAGGGTTTCATTGAATATAAAATTGAACCAAAAATTAAAAACTACCAAACATGGAACCCCCACTACTCAATCATGGTGGGAGAGGGCCGAGAAACATAGAGGAGGATTCTTAGCACCGAAAAAAAATAAAAACAAGAAGAAAAAATCAGTTCCAAACGGCTTGCCCCTACACACACAGCCCAGAGCATATGTTTTTCAACTTTCAAAATGCTTTTTCTAGATTTCAACAATAGTTTACAGATTAGTTTGCAAGATTTGTTCTTGTTCATAGCCTTAGTTTAGGTTCTGTTCATATCTTTCCTCAAAGATTTCAATTTAAGATAGTGTTTAAGCATTTGGAAGCAATTCAGCCTGCAAAACAGGTCTGCCTTGTTGATTTGGTTAGTTCTTCTTTCTCTTATGGATTCATCAATGTTATTTGTTCATATAAATAGGTTGAATGCTTTTTGCCTTTGTTCTTTTGTTTCTGCACAACAGCCAGACATTTAGTTTATTTAATTTTAATTTTCAGATTTAATTTTATAAGTTTCCAGACTTTAATTATTTCGTAGATTCTCCTTTAGTTTTAGTTATCAAGTAGTTTAGCTATTTTTTATTTTAAATCTGTAAGTAATTAGTTTGATTGTTATGGATTGCGTAGTGAAAATCGTTGTCTATGATTTTACATTTTCTGTTGTTTGCGGATTTTATTTTGTGGCATGTTGTTCTCTTTTACTGATTTCATGTTAGATTAATTGCCTTAGGATTTTGCATTAATTTTAGGATTTGTAACTTTTATTATACTTTTATGATTGTGAAGTCCTTAGAGGTTTAACTCATTCTGAGAACTTTACCCTTTTTTTTTGTAATATCGTCTAGGGGCGTAGTGTGTTTCATAGATGTTTTTTTCAACTATCCTTTTGGAGGTCGACCGTTGAAAATGAAAAAGATCATCTGGAAAATCTTATTTTCTTGTTTTAGACAAAGCAAGTAACACGCCTAATACTCAAACTCACGTAATCAAGGCCAGTTAAGGATTTTTGGGAAACACTTAGTATCCGAAAGTCTCCAAAACTTGTTGTTCCACCAACTCCCAAAATTTTTTCAATTTCCCCTAACACCAACATATATGAAAATGGTGGTTAAATCTTAAATCCTACCTGTTACCATGGATTTCTCCAAGAAGTCAGAAACAGGGAAAAGAAGCCTTTCCAGCAGATGCCTCAACATTAATGATCTCATCACCATTAAGTAAATACAAAGCATCAACCTTTACTTACTCTCCAATTAATTACACACAAAGCAAAGAAGCAAAGCTTTCCCTTTTTCAATAGCCTTCTTCCCCACTTTCCTTTTTCATTGGTTCCTTTCACAATCACACGCTCACAACACGCATGAATTGATGAGACCCAGATGAAAAGAACATAACTTATTATTTGCTAAAAATTTCAAAAAGAAGATGACTGGAGGAAGACCTTGCTTCAACATGAAGGGAAATGGAGAAAATTTTCTTTACTCCAAATTGGTCATGCATATTTGATAGCTCACCCAAATCACCAAATCCTCCAAACATGATGGATTTCTTAAGGATTATTTTTAAAAAAAAGAGTTGAGAAAAGAATAAAATGATGGATTTCTCGAGGTTTTAGTGGAGGATCTTACTTGAAAATGAGGGGAAACGGGAGAAAAAATTCCAATCTTCACACTTTCTTCAACGAATTGCAAATCCTCCATAAACTGAGAGAATGAAAATACTAAGAGCTGCAACTACAAGTATACAATAAGGTTAGAGATAAAGAATTAACAATGGAAGCGTAACACAGACCCATCACTCACAGCAATGACCACTCTGCACACGGATTTAGCTTCCACATGATGTGTGAAGAAGTGCAATACCCCAACCCGACCCCCCATCTTCATCCTCGACTCAATCTCCATCGTGGCTCTGGCCGGATGCGCATTATTGGGGAAACCGTTAAACCCATCGGGAAGACCAATGCGGCCTGAAACAGTGGTTGTCTC